CGAACCACCGCGCCAACTTTGCCTACAACTATAGCATACACCCGCACGCCCCGCCGACGGAACGCTGAACGAAGCTTTTGGAGCCTTTTGAGGATAACATGCGATGATTGTCCCGTCTGTGTGACAACCACAACCAGAGAACGCGTGGAGATGCAAGGATTGTTCCTTCTGGGGGCCGGGAAGAAGTACCGCAAGGCAGGGCCCAACGCACCATCAACTCGCCTATTTGCGTGAACTGGAAACTGGATGTTTTTTTAATGAGTTGAGATCTTGCTTCAAGTTGCAGTGTAGCCCAAAACGCAACTACAGGTGCGCCCCGTCGCCATAAGTAGCGACATCGATGCGCAGATTTTTGTTCTTCTTTGCAACCCGCCGAGAAATAGACACGGCAAAAGTCTTCTCTCGGTTAAAGCTTAGTTCATCCACGTAGCTAGAGCCGTCAAGTAAGAACGCAATGTCAGGGGGCTTGTTCCGTATGCCTGTTACGTGAAGAATCAAAAACTCTAAATAACAGAATAAGTCAGAAGTTTAAGGGCCACTGTATACTCCACTGTATTTATCACAGGGAGACAAAACTTCTAAGCTTCAGGGATATTACGTTGCGTCACGATGACTTGCATTATAAGTAGTTTAGAAGAAGGCAATTGTGCTTTGACCGGTGAGTCTCGCGCTAACGATCAAGAAACAACAAAGTATTACAGCAGGGGGCAAAGAAAACCAATTTTTCTAGGAATGATGTATTTATGTAACAAGTTATTGTATGTATGCAAGACATTGGAAGATCAAATGTTTAAACAATGGGCGTCGGTCAACATTCGCAACGCCGTTCCCAGGGTCTTTCAACTTCCCGCATATCCAGAGAGGGCGGAAGGATAAGAGACCCTGGAAAAGAGGTTGCAACATTCGCGGGTAACAGTGTAGTGTTACCCTCTGACGTCATAGATTTCATTTAGAGACATTTACCGGGAAAAACCTTTTATGTTTGATGTCATGGGAGCTCTAAGTAACCAATGAAAGGGCTCGGTGTTTCGGAAAAATTCCAACAATGCACGTATCATAATTGTCTAACGGGGATTTAAGTAGGGAGTGCGACTGGATGTACACTATCACTTACAGTCCTTTGTAACCCCAACTGCATTCACGGAACTAAACTTGTGGCTGAGAGAAAGAATAAAGACTGGTAAAACTTCTACTCTCACATCGGTTTTTTGACAACTTATATTAAAGGTGGAGACGTTTTTCGTGACAGTGAAAGCACCCTACAATTTTCGGAGATCGCTCGCTCGGGAATCGTTCGCTCGTGAATCGCTCGCTTAATGCATGGGTTGTAAATCCGGTGCGACTGAAATTCCGTCTAGATTTTAAAAATATACATCACATGTCAACTCTTAGGTAGATAAGTAGAGTTATAAAAAGAAAATCCAGCATTCAGAGCAATAGTTGTATCCTCTCGTAGCAGCAGCGTAATGATTGAATGATGCTTACATTTAACCTACCATGAGTACTTAAAAAGGTTGGAAGAACACCTTCAAGACGGTAAACCGGAAGACAGAGGAGATTTTAAATAGTCGCTTTTCTTGCGCGCCTTGAAAAAACAATTGTTTTATAGTAATGTGCCTCTTCCTGCGGAGATTTTGAGGTCCTCTGCTGTGTGTCACTAGTTTCTTGAATTAATCACCCATTTTTGTACAGATACTGAAATTAAAATCAGTCTGATTCTCCAAAGCCAAATGATGATGTTCCGATGATAACTTTGCAAAGCCAAAGGATTGAAAAAAACAGAAGTGATTCCTGATCAACCTGTATCTGCAACACGGAAATTTTTCAAAAAAACAAAAGAAAGAGGTAAAACCACTCCCTACCTAACCCTAGTCAGAGTTTGTTGAAAATTTAGAGGATAGCAAATACTTATGATTGAAAGATGAAAACGAGTACGAGAAGAAGAAATTGAATTTGCTCCATTGTCAAGTTAGCTTGATCTCACGAAAACAACTTTTTCTACAACTGCAGATAACACAACCAAGACACTGGCTTTTGTAAGTAACACTCTTGATAAATAAGTCAGCAGTGTTACCAAATTACTTCTTGACTGTTTTCTAAGCAAACGGATCCCTTTGTAAGCTGTCATAAATTTTTCAGAGCTTTAGAAGAATTTACCAGCTTTTAACAACAAAGCTGATTTATTACAAAAATAATAATAGAATTGCGAAGATTTGACTAAAGCATCTGAAATATTCCCGTTATTAAACAACCTGTGCTAACTTAAATGACCCAAATGATCCTGCAGAGAGAGTCTGGCCCAGCAGCATCGCCATTGTTGACAAAATTAAAGGAGAGAGGGGATATGGGAGGAGAGGGAGGGGAAAACAAAATTATAAATGAACAACCCAGTGTTCAATTGGTCCTTCTAAAACCAAATGAAATGTGAAAATCTATCAAATATATTCTTGAAAGCATTTATGGCAAACATATGAATAAGAACCCATTACCTAATGAATAGTGCAAATATATTTAGATTAGCCTTTTTTTGAGGAACTGTTTATACATATGTACCAATGTCCACATCCCTCTTCGACAACCATGATAATTATTATTTTTCTTTAATGACAATTTAACAAAGGTTGCAAATTGTGGAACATTTTTTAATGCCATCAACCATAACAAGATACTGTTTGTTAAATATTATTGTTTCTTTTCCTACAGGGAAAAATTTAAGGTATGTTGTTTTTGTAATTACTGTGGAAATGGGCCAGTACCTGACTGCTGGGAATGTGTTACAATGGTAAGTATTTTATACTTAAAATTTATTAATGACCCTTGCAGCTGCTAACTGTAAAACCATTTTCCAAATACTTTGGAAAATTGGCTAACTGGCCAAAAGGCATATTAAGAATCCAAGAGATTGTCCTGATAGAATTGTAATAACTGGTAAAAACAACAGGAAATTAGAGGTGCAAGTGAAAGCATGAGATGCAAAAACGTTGACAATGGTCTTGAAAGAATCAGTAAATTAAACGCCTGGCTATGTGAAAAATTAGAGAAACTTCAATGTACAGGTCTTATAAAACATGAAGCCACAAATGGGATGATTGCCACAGTTTATAATAGCACCAACAGTGGTGTGCAGTTATCCATGACCCCCTTCCCCCGATTCCCCCACCCCCCACCCAAAAAAACTTTAATGATGCTGATAGTGCCCGGGAATTCAGAGTAAGCCAGTAAGCCAGTAAGAGAAAAAACTTCTGAGTCCATGTAGGGCAGGCATGGTTTTGATATGTCAAATTCCATGAGTGCCTTGTGCAACATCATGCGTTGACGTGTGGGACGAAGGAATATTCTAACCTTTCTGATTTTCGGCGATTCTGGATAATGGCGAACCTTGAAAAACGTGATTTTTTTAAAATATATTTTGTCCTCTATTATCAACAAGTGACTGAAATAATTTTGCACTCGGCTAAATATAACACTGATTTCCCCAAGGTCTTCAAATTACTCCGTAGTAGTCCGTATGGACAACATTGAAAATGTGGGTAAAGATGAAATTAACCTTGCACTAGAATGACTTTTTGCAATAATTTTCGTAACGAAACGAACCAAGTAAAAACATATTGGAGATTTAAACCGACGAAATGCGCAAAATTTTAATTCCAATGGAGTCGAAAGTTAGCAACGTATTGTTTATTCTAAAGCTGTTGAAGACGGCCCAACAAGTGTTACAATAAACGCACATTTCCAAATGGCGGCCATGTGATACAAAGTTGTAAATTATTCGAAACAAGAAACGAGTTTGTTGCGCTTCGGTCGACACTAGCGTTGCTTAGGTCATATCATATGATAACGATACTTGTGCCAAAGCAGAAAGAGTTGGAAATTGCTCGAAATTCAGGAGTTTCGTAGCCAAATTCAGTTATTTTAATATCTTAACGTAAACATCGTTTACTCGTGTCAAAAATGTGTCAAATACCTGGCTACAAACAATTTCTATCTTAATTGTTTTTGGTTGGAAAATAAAATTCTTTTAGGCAAGAATTCTTTATGTCTTACCTTAAATACTCTCCTTCCTTCCTCCTGCCGTGAAAATGTGGAAAAGACCGTCCATATTTCTCAGTTTTTGGACGTTACTTTTGCGAACACAACATGTCGACCTTCGACCACGAGACTATGAAACGCAAAACGCGTGTTGCAGCAAACTGATTTTTGGCGCGAAAATTTCCCGGCGTTTATACTTCTCAGCGGTCAAACGCAAAAATTCAACGTTACTTCCGGTTACGTCTTTACTTCGAAGTTTGTAAGAGTTTGAAGCGAAAATGCGCAAGACTTCCGTTAAAAAAGAAGCTCTATAAAACGGGCAATGATAAATTAGAACACGAGCCGATAAATTGGTTGGATAATAATTATTAAATTTTCTATGCGGTAGACAAAGCTTTTAAAACTCTTCTGCAGGAGCTCGGAAATTGCGCTCGCTAGCGGGAACCTTCTTACTTCTCCCGCCAGTCTGTAGATGCTGTTATCCAAAAAAATTAGTTAGAGATCAATCAGAGGACATTGTGAATAGCCGCAGGAGGCTAGGAATCACGTGCAATAACACAGCCTCGAACACAGCCGTCCTTTGAGCTCGTCTCAAAGGGAAGAGATTGTGTGACGAACCCAAAGGGCGTCCGCACAGGAGGCTAGTTATATAAACCGTCCTTTTCCACAACTGAACCCTTCTGACCCAAGTAGGAAACAAATACAACCTGTTTACACTGAATATCAATGAACTTTATTCCATTTACTAAACTAAATATCAACTACACAGCTTTGAATGCTGTAACATACGAAGGCTCGCTATAAAGAGGGCTTCTCTGAGTAGTGTGTTACACTTCGGCAAAACAAGGAAATTCAAAACCTATTCAAGGTTGCTTTTTACATTACAGTACATAATTCAATAAATACTTTTATCCACACGTTGCTGTTGGGAAAAGGCTTTGATCTCAGAAACTAAGATTCAATTTTTTGACGCAATGCCAGATTACCATTTGTATTGCTACACAACAGAATTCTCAAAAAGTTTTGCGTGATGACTCGAGAAAATATCGGGTCATGCAATGCTCAAAGTGAACGGATGCGTGACCCGAAGAAGGGTTACCAAGGTGACCTCAAAGAGTGAGAAAGTTAACCCCCTTTATAGCGCGCCATCGTCTCTAATATCTTCAATTTTTCGGCAAATTGCTTGGCGTGCTTAACACTTCAGTTGTGTTCCATTTTCCTGATAAAGACTTTGTCGTTCCATTTTTGTATCGTTCGCCTTCCTCTTGGAGGTGAGTGCTATTTTGGCGGCCAAGATCAAGGTTGAGGCGCCTGAGCTGATCACGGTAACGCTCTCGTTCGATGTTCTGCAAGTCGAAAGAAAAATGTAAGAAAACGAAATATGTAGGAGAAAAATGAGGATAGATTCTATTGAAGAAAATCATTCCAGTCAGTTGGTTTGGCTAATCAAGTTTTTCAATTAGCTTCAATTGGGATCAAATTCTGACTGACTTGGTTGAAGTGAAGTGCCTATGAAGTAAAAAAATAATTGCTGCTTATTTGAAAGGCTTTTCAAAGTAAAGAAGAATGGCGTTTCCCTTTTTGCAATATCTTTTTTCGTTCTAGAGATATTTACGTTTTTGGATTATGCAAATGAGGAAATTGATGACGTCATAGGTGGTTCCACTTG